ACCCTTTTAAACAGATCATCCCAGCTCCCTCACTCCCCACACCTGGGATAAGGATTTAGGACAACAGTTTTCCACAAGTTCCTCCAGTTCTGAAGGGGACAGAGAAGAAAAATCTGTCGTGACTGTGACAGATGTGGCAATTTCCTGCAATACAGTAGACCCGCGCTATATTGCCCTTCCCTGGATCCCACCTCCAGCCCTGCCTGCTGTGGTGGGGAGCTGAGAGATCCTCCGGCCCTGGGCCCACGGCGGGTGGGCTCAGAGCTCTGTCCCAGCCTGGGGCCGGAGGATCTGACCCCCCGCAATCTCTCACTATAACAAACCCCTGGCTATACTGAACAAATGGCTTGAATCCCCAGGGGTTCGTTATAGCGAGGGTGCACTGTATCCTCAAAATAGCTTACTGAATTAAGTGTAAGTATCTTTGGAGTCCATTCCATTAGATACAAAAGGTCTGTACTATTTTGGGCCCCGGGTGACCAAAGGACTATATTGAACAATGTGGCAGATAAGAACGGTCTTTTGGGACAATAGGTATAAGTGAATTTCCTGGGAAAGATCATGGGGAAGTGAATGTAAGTTCTCCCTCCCCAGTTATGCAAAAATTCCAGGCTTTTGAAACCACACCCTCAAGATTGGGCCTTTGTCTGCTGATTACCTGTTACAAGGGGCCAAGATCAAAGGCCCAAGCTGTATAAAGGAAAGACTGAACTATTCATGGTTGTTCTGATTCTTGAGCTAAAGCTGTTATAATAAATGTGTAACCACAGGAAAGCCCCTTGGTGAACTTTGAAGGACTGACTCCTCCCAGAGCTCTTGTTGGACCTTAAGCTTATTCGCATGAGTGGAGATTCTTTTATTGTTTATAATATGTTTTTTCTGTAATACTTTCACCTAAAGAATCAATGGGCTTGCTTATAAATAGGTTTGGCCTGATTAGATTTTTAGTGCTAAATGTTGACTTCACTGTACACATACAAACAAATGAAAAAACATTTCCATTGACTAGACTCAAAATTTACAGGTAGGCAAAGTAAGAAAAATGCTGCTTGAAATATGGGAAGGGTTTGATTTAAGGATATTACCTGGTATATTTTAACATGGCATGTTGACAAGTCATGATTTAACAGTTCCCAAGCTTTAACTTTTCAATCTCAACTTTCATTAAATAATTATTGACTGACCCCGCCACAAATTCCCACAACCGTGGAAATTTAAATCTATAAAAATCTAAAAACAACGCTTAAAGTCAACACAGTATTATCCATCAAAAAATAAAGATTTAATTCTGCAAAGCCTACTTAGAAAGGGTTGTGTGGTAACTCATAACAGTGGCAATTATACTGTTTATGTCCTCTGGAGCGAAAACAAAGAGCAGGCAGTGGCCTATTTAGATAGCCTGGCTTGCTGGGAATATCACAGTGCAGGCAGGAAACAGCAGCCTGGAAAAACCCCAGTCAGGAGGGAGAGAGACATGGGTCTCCACCCAAGAGAGGTGATGGCTGGGAGCGGGAAATCTAAAAATGGATGTCCAGGATGGACCACAGAGGGGGGATACAGATGCAATTGCCCTGAATTGTGAGTGATTTCATAGCAGTATTTGATAAATGGATAGAAAGTTACCACAACCACCTGATGGCTATTCACACAGGCAGCAGAGAGCCCTGGGTGATGCTTTTTTAAACAGGAAAATGAAGGAGCGAAAATATTTAAGAAAATTTCCTAGCAGGGGTTTCTCAAGGCAACATCTGCTCCGGAGGAGGCAAGTTCACTCTGCCCGGGACAGCTCATCCCCGCCGTGGCTAAGGGACTCTGGGCCATGCACCCAGGGAGCAGAGCCGGGAGGGGAGTGCTGGAGGGGCAGCCAAATGCCAGGTTAAGAAAGAGAGGGGATCCCAGCCCTGCCCCTGTAACCAGGACGGCCATGAAACCCCTTGCCAGCCCCCTACCAGTTGAGAGATACCAATAGAGCCAGTCAATGATAACAAAATAAAGTCAGCTGCCAAGACTATCCAGCATGGCCCTGCTTTCTGTTCAGCAGCTGGGAGTGTCCTCTCGCCCGGGCAAGGTGAGCACAGAAGGTAGTAATGGGAGCAGGTCCAGCAGAGTCCCAAGGAATCGCCCAGCTACACAAGCCGGCTTCCCACTCCTTGGAGGGGATTTTGATCAGTTAACAATGTTTCAGTGGCCAGTCTCAAAGATCTGTTGACAAACGTTTTTTCCTGCATCACCCTCGCCCAGAGAGCGGTGCCTGCCCTGGTCACAAACATTTTTAGTAGGGCTGTCAATTAACTGCAGTTAACCCATGCGATTAACTCAAAAAAATTCATCACAGTTAATCACACTTTTAATCACACTGAAATTAATTAAATATTTTTGGGTGTTTTTCTACATTTTCATATATATTGTATTCTCTGTTGTAATTGATGTTAGGATATAGATATTCAGGATATAGATATTCAGTCTGTAAAGGCCTGTACTCTAAGAATTTAGATGTATTCTTATCACTTCGCTAGTTCTAGAGGTATAAAGGAGAGAATCAAAATCCCTGTCTGCCAGTGTAAGGGCCTTCTCTTACTGTGACAGTCTGAGGCCCTGTTCTTAAGCTAAGGCTGTTGGCTAAGCAGCAGAGGCAGCCATAAGCTGGGAAGCGACCGGTCACCTCCTCACATTCCAAACTAGTCGCACTGAAAGACGGTGCTATTGGGCTGTTAGGATACAATCCTGTCCTGATAATGCCTATCACCTCCAGAGAAAGGGAAGTGCCTAGAAGATGTAAAAGGAAACTTAGTTTGATAGCATCCTGTCTGGCAAGAACTCACTTATCAATGTGAAATCCTCATTTCTGTGTTGTTCTATCATTGTAGCCCCCATTTCCCTATTGTTTGTCTGTATAATCTCTGTCTGGTTCTGTGATTGTTTCCGTCTGTTGTATAATTAATTTTGCTGGGTATAAACTAATTAAGGTGGTGGGATATAATTGGTTAAATAATCATGTTACAATATGTTAGTAGCGGTTAGTTAAATTTCAAGAAAATGATTGGTTAAGGTATAGCTAAGCAGAACTCAAGTTTTACTATATAGTCTGCAGTCAATCAGGAAGTGTGGGGGGGGATGGGAACAGGGGTGGGGAAATTGGAATCATGTTTTGCTAAGGGGGGAAATGGGAACAGGGACACAGGTAAGGCTCTGTGGTGTCAGAGCTGGGAAGGGGGACACTAAGGAAGGAAACTGGAATCATGCTTGCTGGAAGTTCACCCCAATAAACATCAAATTGTTTGTACCTTTGGACTTCGGGTATTGTTGCTCTCTGTTCATGCGAGAAGGACCAGGGAAGTAAGTGGGAGAAGGAATAAGCCCCCTAACAATTGAAATCCCAAATATATATTATTTTTATTACAAATATTTGCACTGTAAAGTGATAAACAAAAGAAATAGTATTTTTCAATTCGCCGCATCCAAGTACAGTAGTGCAAGCTCTTTATCATGAAAATGCAACTTATAAATGTAGATTCTTTTTGTTACATAATTGCACTCAAAACAAAACAATGTAAAACTTTAGAGCCTACAAGTCCACTCAGTCCTACTTCTTGTTCAGAACTTATCTTCTGCTCCTCCAGCCTCCCCTCCCTTATTTAGGTAAGCAGCGCCAGGCTGGAGACCGAACCCCTCCTGCACCCCGCCCCCAACCCCCTTCCCTGAGCCCCCTGCTGCACTCTGCACCCCTCAACTCCCTACCCTGAGCCCCCTGTCCCACCCCAACCCCCTTCCCTGAGCCCCCTCATACACTCCGCACCCCTCCTCTGCCCCAATCCCCTTCCTGCACACCACACCGCCCCCCACACCCCGCCCTGGCCCTGCATGCAATTTCCTCACCCAGATGTGGCCCTCGGCCCAAAAAGTTTGCCCACCCCGGATTTATTCTGCCACCAGGAGCCCTAATCAAAGCCTTCCTCTCATTCCCAGCCTCCCTCAGCCCAAGCAAGCGCGGGATGCGGGGCCTTCGGAGGACGTGCCCCCTCGCAGCTCACGGCACCGACTGGGGGCGCGGCGCAGAGCGGGGGAAGAGCCCGGAATGGATTCTGTGGGCCCCGCTGAGCTTCTGGCGAACGGGGTCGCGGCCACACGCGGGGGCGCGTCTCCCCCGGCTCTGCCGCAGGGCAAGTCTCCACATCGGTCTCTTGGACACGCGCCTCCCCGAAACCCAGCGGCTCGCTCACTCGAGTGACAAAAATCGCTACTTTGGCAACACCCCCCCGGGAGCAGACCCTGGGAAGGACCCTGAGAGCAGCAGGTTCCGAGCTGGGCCCCTGCCCCACGGCGGGGCTCGGATCCCCGGGGGCTGCCCCCTTGTGCGGGGGGGGTCCTGCCCCCCGCCCCGGCTCTCTCCCGAGTACCTGCCCCCTCCCGCGCAGGCGCCGCTGCCTCCAGAGCCCGGGGCGAGCCCAGGCTCGGGTCCCTGCGGCAGCGGCCGGGCTCGCGGCCCCCAGCCGCGCACAGGATCTGATCTCACGGCGCTCGCTCCCCACCAGCCCCCGGGGCTCCAGGCGGCTTCCTGCGCCCCGGGAGAGCCGCCCGGGCTGCCGCGCCCCCGGCCCCGAGTCTCCTTGCGGGGCGGGGGGATGGACCGTGGCGGACGATGGCGGGTTCCCGGCTCCTGTCCCGGCATCGCCCCTGGGCAGATCCCCCGGTGCCGAGCCGGGAACAGACCCCCCCGTCTGCCAACTCGCCGGGTACCGCCCTCCGGCCCGGCGCCCGCACCAGTTCCCCGCTGCTGCCCGTGCACACGCTGCTCCGCATGAGATCCGGTCTGTCTGGGGTGCAGAGCAGCAGCCCGCCCGTCTGTGTCCGCAAAAAGAACCGGAGGACTTGTGGCTCCTTAGAGACCAACCAGTTTATTTGAGCACAAGTGTTTGAGCGCAAGGGTTAGTGTCTGCACCTGGGGCGGGCGGGGACCGGGGCACTTTGCGGGGGGCAGCAGGGAAACCCCCCCCACGGGCACTGGTCGGGTAGGAACTAAAGGCACCGGTTGCACTGTAGGTCACTATTGGACCTTTTATTAGCCAGGGCCGGCCTTAGGGAAATGCTGCCCTGGTTGAGCTTGTATTTTGACAACCCTGGACCCCACTGCTTCCCCGGGCCTCCCACCCATCGCCCCATTCACCCCGGGCTCCCACTGCTTCCTTGCAGCCCCCCATCACCCCTGGCCTCCACTGCCTCCCTGGGCCCCGCACCCATCCCCCCATCGCCCCTGGACCCTGCTGCCTCCCTGAGCTCCCCACCCATTCCCCCATCACCCCTGGCCTCCACTGCCTCCCTGGGCCCCCCACCTGTCCCCCCATCACCCCTGGCTCCCACTGCTTCCCTGCACACACACACCCCATCGCCCTTGGCCTCCACTGCCTCCTTGAGCTCCCCACCCATCCCACCATCACCCCTGGACGATGCTGCTCCCCTGGGCTCCCCGTTGTCCCAGGACCCCACTGCCTCCTCCCTCACTGCCCTGAGCTCCTTTCTGAAGCCTCGCACCCCGGGCCAACCCCTCTCCTTGTCTCTTGACCATGGTGCCCTGGTTGGTCACCCATCTGAAAAACCAGCCTTCATATTATCCTACTGATACAAGGGTTGCTCCTCTGGTGAGCGCGAGATGTCCTGTGCCTTGCCAGTCAGCTTCCCAGTGGAGGAGAAATCAGTGTACAGAGTCGGCGTGAATTCTAAGGGTACGTCTACTGTACGAAATTATTTCAAAATTATTTTATTCGAATTTTCGGAAGTGATTTTATACATTCGGTCTTCTGTGTCCCCACTAAAGCGTGTGCATTTGGCGGAGTGCGTCCACAATACCGAGGCTAACATCGAATGTCGGAGCGGTGCACTGTGAGTAGCTATCCCACAGTTCCCGCAGTCCCTGCCGCCCATTGGAATTCTGGGTTAAGCTCCCAGTGCATGATGGGGCAAAAACATTCTCGCGGGTGTTTCTGGGTGTGCGTCGTCAGTCCCTCCCCCCTCCGTGAAAGCTGCGGCAGACAATCGTTTCGCGCCGTTTTGGCGTGCAGACGCCATACTGCTTTCAGCAGACAGTGCACTGCTGCTCTCCTGCTACTATGAATCCGCCCTGCATTTCCTCTCATCTTCCTATGTAATCTCTAGTATCTACTCTTCCTCTTCCTCAGCGAACGCTTCCACTGCCAACTCCGCTCGGCCATCGTGAACCGAGCGGCACAGCCGCCCACTCTGCTCTCCCGCTCTTCCTGCGCTACCGAGCTTCTCCGTGTTGTCTGTCCTGGGCTCTGCCTCCGTGAAAGCTACAGAAGACAACCATTTCCTGCCTTTTTTCAGCTGTCGTGAACCGAACAGCACCTGTTCCACTGCCACTCTGCTCTCCTACGTTTCGCGCCCTTTTTCCAGGATTACCAGGATTACCATAGCCATGGAGCCTGCTCAGATCTCCACTACAGTTTTGACCATTGTAAATACCTCATGCATTATCCAGCGGTATGTGCAGTACCTGCAAAATTGGGCGAGGAAGCGATGACAGTGCGATTACTATACTGATGAGGACATGGACACAGACGTTCCTAGAAGCACCGCATGTGGCGATTGGAAGATCATGGTGGCGTTGGGCCAGGTTCATACCATGGAACGCCAATTCTGGGCCCAAGAAACAAGAACAGACAGGTGGGACTGCATAGTGTTGCAGGTCTGGGATGATTCCTAGTGGCTGCAAAACTTTCATATGCGTAGGGCCACTTTCATGGAACTTTGTGACTTGCTGTCCCCTTCCCTGAAGCACAAAGACACCAGAATGAGAGCAGCCCTCACAGTTGAGAAGCGAGTGGCCATAACCCTGTGGAAGCTTGCAATGCCTGACAGCTACCGGTCAGTCAGGAATCGGTTTGGAGTGGGCAAATCTACTGTGGGGGCTGCTGTGCTGCAAGTAGCCAATGCAATCATTGACCAGCTGTTATCAAGGGTAGTGACTTTGGGAAATGTGCAGACCATTGTGGATGGCTTTAGTGCACTGGGGTTCCCTAACTGTGGTGGGGCGATAGACGGAACGCATATCCCTATCTTGGCCCCGGAACACAGGGGCAGCCAGTACACAAACCACAAGGGGTACTTTTCCATGGTGCTGCAAGCACTGGTGGATCACAAGGGATGTTTCACCGACATCAATATGGGATGGCCGGGAAAGGTGCATGACGCTCACATCTTCAGGAACTCTGGTCTGTTTGAACAGCTGCAGGAAGGGACTTACTTCCCAGACCAGAAAATTACTGTTGGGGATGTTGAAATGCCTATAGTTATCCTCGGGGACCCAGCCTACCCCTTAATGCCATGGCTCATGAAGCTATACGCAGGTACCCCGGACAGTAGTAAGGAGCAGTTCAACTATAGGCTGAGCAAGTGCACAATGGTGGTAGAATGTGCCCTTGGACATTTGAAAGCGCGCTGGCGCAGTTTACTGACTCGGTTAGATCTCAGCACAACCAATATTCCAATTGTAATTGCTGCTTGTTGTGTGCTCCACGATATCTGTGAGAGCAAGGGGGAGACATTTATGGCGGGGTGGGAGGTTGAGACAACTCGTCTGGTGGCCAATTTCGCACAGCCAGACAACAGGGCGATTAGAAGAGCGCAGCAGGGCGTGCTGCACATCAGAGAAGCTTTGAAAGCTAGTTTTATGACTGGCCAGGGTATGGTGTGACAGTTGTGTTTGTTTCTCTTAAAGTTACCCACCCCCTATATATAAGAAAGGAAATAAAGTCACAATTGTTTAAAAACCGTTCTTTATTATTTGTTGCACAAAACACTGAGAGAAATCAGAAGCTAGACGGGGGGTGGGGGGAATTGGGTTAGGGGGTGGAGGAGGAGGGAAGGACAAGTCCAGAAACAAAATCAAAATTTCGGATATGCCAGCTTTCTGCTGCTTGTGCAATCCTCTGGGGTTGAGTGTGTGGGTCCCTGTAGCCTCCCCCCCACTCCATGTTCTTGAGCATCTGGGTGAGGAAGCTATGGAACTTGGGGAGGAGGGAGGGCGGTTATACAGGGGCTGCAGCAGCAGTCTGTGGTCTTGCTGCTTTTCCTGCATTAGATCCACCATACAGCGGAGCATGTCAGTTTGCTCCCCCATGAGCTTAACCATAGCATCCTTCCTGCTGTCATCGCGCGTGTCCCTCCTCTCTTCGTATTCATGTAACACTTTACATGACTCCGGAATTGTTTGCCTTCACGCATTCAGCTGGGCCCTATCAGTGCGGGAGGACTGCACTTCTAATCTGGACCAGCCTTTGGGACAGAGTAGATAGGGGCCGCGTTTGCACCTGTGGGAGGAGAAAAAGGGAGGGTAGTATTTTAAAAGATACATTTTAGAGAACAAAGGGGACACTCTTTCTCAGTGAAACAGTAAATTCATAGTACACAGCACATGTTCTTTCTGTACAAGGTCACATTCTGTACAAGGTCACACTTATACTGAAGTGCCTGCCATTTTAGTATGAGTAAGCCATCGCAAGTGGCCGGACAACAGAATTCAGCTTGCAGGCAGCCATGGTAAGCCCTAGGGGCACGTGGGGTTCTGCTTCTTCTGCATTCATTTCAATGCTTTCAAACTGCCAGGCCCCCTTTCCCATAGCAAGCAATGCCTCGTAGGTTTGCCATATAAAAGGAGGGCCTGCGGGCTCTCTGGGATGATTGCTTCACACAACACCCTCCCCCCCGACACTACGTGGCTCCGATGAGGCTCTGAGCAGGGATGAGCCCTTTAAACTAAACACGAACAGCCCAGCGCAGCTGGGTTCCCCCCACCCCTCACTGCATGGCTCTGATCAAGCTCTCATTCACCAGAAGTGCCTTCTCCAGGGTCATGGTCCGGGAGCCTGCCTTCGGAGTCTGGGGGAGGCTATTGGCCCAAGCGTTAAGAATAGTTCCTGGCTAGGGGGGTGTCAAGGTTCCTCCCTCACTCTGAACTCTAGGGTACAGATGTGGGGACCTGCATGAAAACCTCCTAAGCTTACTTTTACCAGCTTAGGTTAAAACTTCCCCAAGGCACAAATTAATTTTATCCTTTGCCCTTGGAATATCCACTGCCACCACCAAACTCTAACTGGGTTTACTGGGAAACGTAGTTTGGACACGTCTTTCCCCCCAAAATCCTCCCAACCCTTGCACCCCACTTCCTGGGAAAGGTTTGGTAAAAATCCTCACCAATTTGCATAGGTGACCACAGACCCAAACCCTTGGATCTGAGAACAATGAAAAAGCATTCAGTTTTCTTACAAGAAGACTTTTAATAGAAGTAGAAGTAAATAGAAATAAAGGAATCACCTCTGTAAAATCAGGATGGTAGATACCTTACAGGGTAATTAGATTCAAAACATAGAGAATCCCTCTAGGCAAAACCTTAAGTTACAAAAAAAGACACACAGACAGGAATAGTCATTCTATTCAGCACAGTTCTTTTCTCAGCCATTTAAAGAAATCATAATCTAACACATACCTAGCTAGATTACTTACTAAAGTTCTAAGACTCCATTCCTGGTCTATCCCTGGCAAAAGCAGCATACAGACAGCCACAGACCCTTTGTTTCTCTCCCTCCTCCCAGCTTTTGAAAGTATCTTGTCTCCTCATTGGTCATTTTGGTCAGGTGCCAGCGAGGTTACCTTTAGCTTCTTAACCCTTTACAGGTGAGAGGATTTTTTCCTCTGGCCAGGAGGGATTTTAAAGGGGTTTACCCTTCCCTTTATATTATGACAGGGCGAAAACAGATTCCCCACTTGCCGCCTGTGCACTGTCCTCCTCCTCCTCCTCCTCCTCTTTGTCCTCCAAAAAGCCATCCTCCTCGCTCAGTGCTACTCTGCCCTTGCAAGTGTCCACGGACAGCGGTGGGGTCACCCCCCATAATTGCATGCAGCTCACGGTAGAAGCAGCATGTATGGGGCTATGACCCAGAGTGCCCGTTCACCTCCCTGGCTTTTTGGTACGCTTGCCTGAGCTCCTTGATTTTTGTACGACACTGCTCTGTGTCCTCTGGAGACTTTAGCGTATGTATTTGCATTTCTTTTTTTGGAACGTAGTTCTGCCATAGCAGATTCATCTCCCCAACATGCGATGAGATCCAGTACCTCCCGTTCGGACCATGTTGGAGCTCATCTGCAAATCCGGGACTGCGTGATCTCTTGAGATGGTGGACTCTGCATGGTCGCCTGTGATGGTGGACTGTGCTGATGGTGACGAAACAGGAAATTCAAAAGTTCCCGGGGCTTTTACTGCCTACCTGGTTAGTGCATCAGAGTTGAGAGTGTTGTCCAGAGCAGTCACAAGGGAGCATTCTGGGATAGCTCCCGGAGGCCAATAACGTCGAAGTGCGTCTACAGTACCTGTAACCCGGAACTGTGATCTCGATTTTAGCGCTACTCCACTTGCTGAGGTGGAGTACAGAAATCGGAATAAAGAGCCCTTTAAATTGAAAAAACTGGTTTGGTCGTGTGGACGGAATCAGTTTTATTTCGAAGTAACTCAGCTAATTCCGAAATAACCGCGTACTGTAGACCAGGCCTAAGTGTGATTTGCTTTATTAACACAAGTACAGCAGTCCGGGAACAGAGGCAAACAGCACACGGGCAATCCCCTCTTCCCGAAATCTCAGCATGCACCAATGCCTGCTTCCCAGGAAGCTACTCTGTGCCAAGAATTGCCTCCGAATACAGAAGCTGCCGTCTGCCACAGCTTCTATCTTAGGACAACTGCATCACTGAATGCAGAACAAGATTGTCTTCCAAAGAGACTGAACAAGAACTCATCAGCCCGTGTAACAAGAAGGGCCACCTGGTGCTGCACACCATAATAATACTTCCAGAGGGAAGAAGCCAGGAGTTCTTGGACGAGAGGGATGTTCAGCATCCAAAGCCTGTTTCGCCCAGGGCTGCCCTGCTCAGACTGTGAAGCGTATTGACAGTAAAGGGCATAATAATAAGCAAAGATCCCTCAGATGACTCTGCCAAACCATTCTCCATCATAGTACCTGTGCAGAGAGCCCTGAAAACGGTTTCATACCTCTATCTGCATCGGGGGTACATAGGTTCTCCTCTTTCTTCTTCTGGAGGTCACATGCTGCCAATTTTCTTCCCCGTTCTGCACTGCCCTCTCTGATTCTTCAGCATGCTTTGCCTGCAATACCAAACACTGACTTCTATCCAGAAAGTCTTCATTTTCTCTGATGCAACGCAGGGTTGATATTTGGGTCACTAGTCCTTTAACCTTCTCTTCCAATATGGAGACCAGCTTGCACTTCGTACAAACGAAGTCGCTTCTATCCCCTGGGAGAAAGACAAACATGGCCCATGGCACAAACAGGTCACAACAGCTGATCACTCACTATCCATATTATCTTCCTTCTAAGAGCCTCTTCAGGTGTTGTATTTACTGCTCACAGAAGCCTGAAAGGCAAAAACTCTGTAGGAACTCCCCCCAGGCAAACTCCCTCTGTTTGTTCACCACTCACTCAGTTCACAACTGGCAGCTTTTTTATAAGTCTGCTGGGTCAAAGCAGTTGCTCCGGCTCAAAGCCTTCCCTCCAATCAACCACTCGAGGCCCACCTGGAACACAGCACTCCCAATTCACACTTTTCAAACAAACTCACACACGGTCAAACAGTCATAGAATCATAGAATATCAGGGTTGGAAGGGACCTCAGGAGGTCATCTAGTCCAACCCCCTGCTCAAAGCAGGACCAATCCCCAACTAAATCATCCCAGCCAGGGCTTTGTCAAGCCTGACCTTAAAAACTTCTAAGGAAGGAGATTCCACCACCTCCCTAGGTAACGCATTCCAGCGTTTCACCACCCTCCTAGTGAAAAAGGTTTTCCTAATATCCAACCTAAATCACCCCCACTGCAACTTGAGACCATTACTCCTTGCCCTTTCATCTTCTACCACTGAGAATAGTCTAGATCCATCCTCTTTGGAACCCCCTTTCAGTTAGTTGAAAGCAGCTATCAAATCCCCCCTCATTCTTCTCTTCCGTAGATTAAACATTCCCAGTTCCCTCAGCCTCTCCTCATAACGCATGTGTTCCAGTCCCCTAATCCTTTTTGTTGCCCTCCGCTGCACTCTTTCCAATTTTTCCACATCCTTCTTGTACTGTGGGGCCCAAAACTGGACACAGTACTCCAGATGAGGCCTCACCAGTGTCGAATAGAGGGGAACGATCACGTCCCTCGATCTGCTGGCAGTGCCCCTACTTATACATTCCAAAATGCCATTGGTCTTCTTGGCAACAAGGGCACACTGTTGACTCATATCCAGCTTCTAGTCCACTGTAACCCTTAGGTCCTTTTCTGCAGAACTGCTGCCTAGCCATTCGGTCCCTAGACTGTAGCAGTTCATGGGATTCTTCCATCCTAAGTGCAGGACTCTGCACTTGTCCTTGTTGAACCTCATCAGATTTCTTTTGGCCCAATCCTCCAATTTGTCTAGGTCCCTCTGTATCCTATCCCTACCCTCCAGTGTATCTACCTCTCCTCCCAGTTTAGTGTCATCTGCAAACTTGCTGAGGGTGCAATCCGCACCATCCTCCAGATCATTTATGAAGATATTGAACAAAACCAGCCCCAGGACCGACCCTTGGGGCACTCCACTTGATACTGGCTGCCAACTAGACATGGAGCCATTGATCACTAGCCGTTGAGCCCGACAATCTAGCCAGCTTTCTATCCACCTTATAGTCGCTGCAACTAGCACCAGTCAAACAAATGGTCACAGCAGACAGACACTCGGATATTC